CGCCCACCGCGCCGCGTTCATTTCGCCCAAACCCGCCAAGACCGTGTCGCCTAGACCCGCCGGCTTCTTTTAGCCCAACCCGCCGCAGCTCATTCTTCCTCGCTTCCCTTCGAAGCCCTCCCCCCCGCCACTCTGCATCTTCCTGCCCCTTCTCGCATCGCGTCCGCCACGTTACCCCCGTTCCGACTGCCGTCGCGACGCCACTCCACTATCCCATAGTGCCGCTTGTATCGTCCGCGCCGCGCCACCCGCCTCTCTTTCGCCCCGCCCTCTCCCTTTCTCACATCTATTCTTGCTCTCCCTCTCTCCATCCCTCCCGTCCCTCCTCCAGTCGCCACGTCACTCTATTTCTCCGTGGTGGCTCTTATAATCGCCATCTGGGCCGTCTTTATTTTCCGCGCCATTCAAGCCCCGCCGCCGATCCCGCTCACCGACGCTGACGTCACCAGCCCTCGCGTCCGGCTCTCGGACGGCCGCCACGTGGCGTACCACGAGATGGGTGCGGCTGCTGACGTGGCCAAGTACCAGGTGCTGGTGGTGCACGCGTGGCAGACGTGCCGGCTCAGCATGCTGCCCAATATCACGCAGGTGCGATGACGTGTCCTGTTCCTGTGTCGTGACGTGTCATGATTGTGGGTCGTGACGTGTCAGGTACGACAGGGCGAGGTGCAGTTACACCCCTCTCCATCCCTCTCGACCCCTCCCAATCTCTTCCCACCCCAGGAGTTTCTAGAAGCCAACGGCATTCGTCTGGTGAGCTACGACCGGGCGGGGTACGGCCAGAGCGACCCCAACCCGGGGCGCACGCTGCAGAGCGACGTGCGGGACGCAGCCGAGGTGGCGACTCTAGTGGGGCTGGGGGAGAAGTTCTACCTCGTGGCCACGTCCATGGGGACTTACGTGGCGCTCGGCGCGCTGCGATACATCCCGCACCGGTGAGTGCTGGTGGGGAAAACCCGGGTTCATATGGGCAGAGCGACTTTTGAGACGTCTCAAAGGCAGAGCGACCCCCACCCGGGGCGCACGCTACAGAATGACGTGCGGGATGCGGGGGAGGTGGCGACTCTAGTGGGGCTGGGGGAGAAGTTCTACCTCGTCGCCACCCCCATGGGGGCGCATGTGAACGCATGCGTCCATGGGGGCGCATGTGGCGCTGGGGTTCCGATACCTGCCACAGTGGTGAGTGCGGGGTGGGGATGAGCATACATACGCAATCCGGTGCCCTGACTACCATCAGGCATGTGGGATATGGACGAGGATTAAGGTGACCACATTCAGGCTCATCTCATCTCACCTCATCTCACCTCATCTCACCTCATCTCACCTCATCTCACCTCATCTCGTCTCACCTCATCTCACCTCATCTCGTCTCATCTCATCTCATCTCATCTCATCTCATCTCATCTCATCTCATCTCATCTCATCTCATCTCATCTCATCTCACCTCATCTCACCTCATCTCACCTCATCTCGTCTCACCTCATCTCACCTCATCTCGTCTCGTCTCATCTCATCTCATCTCATCTCATCTCATCTCATCTCATCTCACCTCATCTCACCTCATCTCACCTCATCTCGTCTCACCTCATCTCACCTCATCTCGTCTCATCTCATCTCATCTCATCGCATCTCATCTCATCTCATCTCATCTCATCGCATCTCATCGCATCTCATCTCATCTCATCTCATCTCACCTCATCTCGTCTCGTCTCGTCTCGTCTCGTCTCGTCTCGTCTCGTCTCGTCTCGTCTCGTCTCGTCTCGTCTCGTCTCGTCTCATCTCATCTCATCTCATCTCATCGCATCTCATCGCATCTCATCTCATCTCATCTCATCTCATCTCATCTCATCTCATCTCATCTCATCTCATCTCATCTCGTCTCACCTCATCTCATCTCATCTTATCTCATCTCATCTCATCTCATCTCATCTCGTCTCACCTCATCTCCTCTCACCTCATCTCGTCTCATCTCATCTCGTCTCACCTCATCTCCTCTCACCTCATCTCGTCTCATCACATCTCATCTCACCTCATCTCATCTCGTCTCACCTCATCTCCTCTCACCTCAACTCGTCTCATCACATCTCACCTCATGTCAAACCCTCTCTCTTCCCTGCCCTTCCTTCCTTCCCACTTCCAGGCTCAAGGGTCAAACAATAGTCATTGTGGTGGGGAATCCCTGGGTCTCCACGTGGCCTTAGCACGAGTTCAACTCAGCCTAAGGGAACGACATCCTCTGCTTCTCTCCACTCCTCCATCTTTCGTCGTTTCCGTTTCCCTTCTCACTGCCATGCCAGGCTCAAAGGCCTGACGATAATCAGCGTGGTGGGGAACCCCTGGGATCCCAGTGTCTCTTCTCTCCCCCAACCAGTGGAAAGGGTCCAGTTGTCCTCACTGCCATCCAAGTGTCTCTTCTCTCCCCCAACCTCTCTTGGCCTCTCTTTCCTCCCCACCCTCCCTTTCTTCTTCCACTTCCAGCCTCAAGGGTCGGACGATAATCAGTGTGGTGGGCAACCCCTGGGACCCCACGTGGCCCAAGCACGAGTTCACAGCCACCTGGCAGCAGATGCCAGTGCAAGACCGCATCACGCTGCTGCTGGCGCGCCACGTACCTTCCCTGCTGCACGTGTGGTTCTCACAAACGGTGGTGCCGATGGGAAACTTCCGGCACCCTTTCCATCCGCACCCGGTTGAGCTGTATGAGTCGGACATGGCTGCCCTGGCCAGCACCGAGGTGTTTGGTTATTTCGCTCAGGTGAGTGTTGGGGTGCGAGTGAGGGAGTGAGCGAGTGTGAGTGCCCTCCCTGCTGCACGCCTGGTTCTCACAAACAGTGGTGCCGATGGGAAACTTCCGGCATCCCTTCCATCCGCACCCCGTGGATTTGTATGAGTCGGACATGGCTGCCCTTGGCAGCACCGAGGTGTTTGGTTATTTCGCCCAGGTGAGTGTGCGCAGTAAGTAAGTGTGCGATTATGAATATGGGAGTGCGAGTGCCCTCTCACTTCCGAGATCCCTTCCATTCTCATTATTTAGTCGGACATGGCTGCCCTTGCCAGCACTGATATGTTTGGGTACTTTGCACGGGTGAGTGTGCGCATTGTGTGTGTGTGTGTGTGTGTGTGCGCGCGCGCGTCAACTCTCGTTTCCCATTTCCCTCGTGATTCGACTAAATAATGCTCTCACTCTTACACCTCTGAGCACCCCCTCCTCTCCCCTCCCCCTCCCCCTTTCTCCCCTCCATCAGAACATGCAGGAGGGGGCAAGGCAAGGGGCAGGTGTGTCATGGTATCAGGATTTCGAGATCCTGGCTGCTGTTTGGGGCTTTAACCTCTCAGCACCCACCCCTACCCACGCTCTCCCTGCTTCCCCCTTCCCCTCTCCATCGTGCCTTTACAGAACATGCAGGAGGGGGCAAGGCAAGGAGCAGGCGTGTCATGGTATCGAGATTTCGAGATCCTCGCTTCTGACTGGGGCTTTAACCTCTCGGAGATCGACCTTTCTCAGACACGAGAGGAGGGAAAGAATGGGGGAGAAGATGGAGGGGAGGAGGGGGGGTTGAAGGGGAAGGTGCACATATGGCACGCGGAGGAGGACTGGGGGGCGCGGGTGGGCTATGCGCGGCATGTGGGGCGGATGGTGGAGGGCAGTGTGCTGCATGTGGTGCCCAAGAGGGGCCATTTCTTCATGTACAACGATGCCCACATGCCCCCCACTGTGCTTCTGACCATGCTTGGGTTGGAAGGGAAGGTGAAGGCGGAGGATGTGGGAGTGAGTGAGGGTGTGACCGAGCGGGTGAGTGAGGGAGTGAGTGAGGAGCTGAAAAGTGAAGAGTGAGGTGTGGGAGGGAGCAGTTTCAGGACCCAAGCAGATACCCACCCCCGTGAGGTGCAGGGCATTCGTCGCGCACAATGAGCCGTGGTTGCTAGCGTAGCGGCCCTAGGTTGGGATGCCCTAGCTGTTGATGGTTTGAGAATGCTTTGGCTCAACTCCCCCTAGCTTGGGCTTTCACCTGGAATGGCCTGGCCTGGGCTGCTCTGTCTCAGATGCCCAGTGCCTGCAGTGCTGGTTTTGGAAAGCTCATTCATGTACGGTATGCTCTTGTACGCAGTTACAGTACCTGCCCTTTAGTAGCTCTTGTACCTGCCTAGTAGCTACCGGTAGCTCACAGATGTATTTTGGCTTGGTTTTTAAGTTTTAAGTTTTATTAAATGGTCGTAACCATACATACAGTGTTGGAACAGTGAACGGGCTATATCCCGATACCTAGGAGGTATGCGCCTACGACGCTAGACTGTTTTGCCTATGCAAACAGGTGAAGTTGTCAACTCCGCCAGTCCAACACTTTCCAAAGAGAGAATCTGTTCCTACGGGGGATGAAAATTTCCCTTCTCAACCAGGTACGGTATGTCGCAGGTCTGGGTGGATGGATGGATGGCATTCCCTGTGTATCAAAGTGGAGTAGTCGTTTCGTGGTCCCGTATTTGACTCGTGAAGCCGTGGCTCGTTGCTTCTTGACGGACTGCTTGCTTCGCCGAATGAAGAAGATTTTGCACGCCGTGAGGAATGTAGCAAGTATGGTGTGAAGTGATGTCACCGCTGATAATCTTGAGTTGTCGTAAATTTCGTTGCACCTCTCGCTCCAGAGAACTTTAGCCGCTGCTCCTACAAGCAAGCTCCATGGGGCACAGCTACCAGCCGGTGTTGCAATCGGGACTAGGGTCATTTCCGCCGGAATTGTTACTCCGAGGTGGTCTTTGGCGACACGTTGCACGCCGTGGTGATGTATTTTGGCTTGGTCAGATTTTACTCCAGTGTGCAGGGTTCAAGGTTCAGTGTGACCTGTCTGGTTTGGCACAGCGATTGATGGTTAGCAGTCAGTGCAGCACGGCACTAGCTGGGTAGCACAGGCAATGCTCCGGGCACTTGTTACAAAACTACTACGGTATGTACCGTATGTAACACTTGCAACTATGTAATATTGCTGCTGTAACAGTTGCCACTATGTAACACAGAGGTCACCCATCTTAACCCATTTGTATGCTGAGCTGTCACACATCCGCTCCACCACCCCATGGGCTGCATCCAAGGCCCTCCTGATTGGCTGAAGCTTGCGCTCTGCTGCTGCTAACTGAGCCGGGTCTCTCACCTGGTGAAAAATAAAGCACGGAAAGATGGAGCATTGGGGAAGATGGTGAGGTGAAGATGGGGAACGGAGAAGATGGAGCATGGGATGCAGTGGCGGTGAGGGAATATGAGGCTGTGAGAGCGAGGAAACAATATCAAGAGGAGATGGTGAGGGAGGAGGTGGAGGAGGAGAGGAGCCACCAAGGAGAGTCCACAGAGCCTCCTTGCTCACAGAGCCAGGGCCTGACCCAATCACCCTGGGTCTTCTTTTAAGTCGGATCAAAAGCAAAGCCTGGGCCTGACCCAATTATTTTGGGTTTTTCCAGCCCAGCCAGGCAAGTACCAAGAAGCTTTCAGGCAAGTGCAGCGTACCTTGGCAAGGGTGCGTGTGACTGCGAGGGAGTGGCGGAGATAGCAGAGGCGGTGGTAGAGGTCTGCCTCGGATATCTGGGTAAAGAGGGGGGGAGAACGGGGAGAAGGGGAAGCGAGTAGAGGAGGGAAATGAGAAGAAGAGATAACTGTGGGAGAAGGGGAAGCGAGTAATGGGAGAAGCTGTGCATAGCCCTGGTTGCAAGGTAGGCTTGTGGTCTTGTGCGAGTCTCAATGCCTTGCTGTGTGTGTGTTGCATGTGTGTGTGTGCGTTGCATGTGTGTGTGCGTACCTGGCGTCGCATGGTGCCCTGGCAGCGAGGGTAGTTGGGGCAGAGGCCCCCTCTGCAGCTGTCAGAATGAACCAAGCGAGTGGCCATGTTCTGAGTCACACACCCACACGTCTCCTCATCGCACTGGTGTGTGGGGAGGGTGGGGGCAGCATAAGGGGAGTGTGAGAGGCTAAGAGACACACAAGCACGCATCTGAGGCTGTCTGAATGCACCAAGCGAGTGGCCATGTTCTGAGTCACACACCCACACGTCTCCTCATCGCACTGGTGTGTGGGGAGGGTGGGGGCAGCATAAGGGGAGTGTGAGAGGCTAAGAGACACACAAGCACGCATCTGAGGCTGTCTGAATGCACCAAGCGAGTGGCCATGTTCTGAGTCACACACCCACACGTCTCCTCATCGCACTGGTGTGTGGGGAGGGTGGGGGCAGTATAAGGGGAGTGTGAGAGGCTAAGAGACACACAAGCACGCATCTGAGGCTGTCTGAATGCACCAGGCGAGTGGCCATGTTCTGAGACACACACCCACACGTCTCCTCATCGCACAGGTGGGTGGGGAGAGCAGGGGGGGGAGGGCGGTGAGACACTCGGGCACACAACTGCAGCTCTCAGAGTACACCAAGTGAGTGAGGGGCTGGGAAGAATCGAGAATGACTATCAATAAACGATCAGTAGTACCTGCATGTGTGCGTATCAAAATATTGCATTGTAACATTTTTTTTTCCCTCGAATGTATAGAACACAGGGGACTGTCTGTCAGTGTAGCCTACCTGCATCCATGCGTCGTAATACTGCGATATGAACGCCTCCGCCTGCCTCTTAACCTGCACCACAAATGCCAAGCCACAAAGGAAGAGTCAACACGTGACACCTTGGAGCACCACCAAAAACTTAATCTAAGTGCAGCACATTGCAGGTCGGGGAAACGAGTTCAGGTTTGGGGTATCGGGTGTTGAATTGAACTACACGTGAGGCTTAGGGTTCAGGGTCTATGAGCTTCGAGTCCAGAAGCCTTTTTTGAGGCGCCGAGTCAAGAAGCCTTTTTTGAGGCGCCGAGTCAAGAAGCCTTTTTTGAGGCGCCGAGTCAAGAAGCCTTTTTTGAGGCGCCGAGTCAAGAAGCCTTTTTTGAGGCGCCGAGTCAAGAAGCCTTTTTTGAGGCGCCGAGTCAAGAAGCCTTTTTTGAGGCGCCGAGTCAAGAAGCCTATTTTGAGGCGCCGAGTCAAGAAGCCTTTTTTGAGGCGCCGAGTCAAGAAGCCTATTTTGAGGCGCCGAGTCAAGAAGCCTTTTTTGAAGCGCCGAGTCAAGAAGCCTTTTTTGAGGCGCCGAGTCAAGAAGCCTATTTTGAGGCGCCGAGTCAAGAAGCCTTTTTTGAGGCGCCGAGTCAAGAAGCCTATTTTGAGGTGCCGAGTCAAGAAGCCTTTTTTGAGGCGCCGAGTCAAGAAGCCTATTTTGAGGCGCCGAGTCAAGAAGCCTTTTTTGAGGCGCCTCGAAAACCGTCTACGAGCTTGGAGTCAAGAAGCCTTGAGTCGATTTACAGGCATCGCAACAGTGGCTTGGCATCGACCTCTGCGATTACCCACCTGGTTTGACAGCATGGCAGGCGACAGCGGCTTGGCATCCTTGCAGCGCGGACACGCCAGCGGCTGCACCTCCCTCTCCTCCTCTTTCCCCCCTTCTTCCTTCCCCCCTTCTTCCTTCCCCTCCCCTGCATTTCCGTTTTCCCCCTCCCCTCTGCTGTCTCGGCTTCCTGCTGCTCCACCTGCTCTCTCCCCAGCCCTCTCCAGCACCTCTCGGTCTCTCCCCTGGGCGATGGCAGGCACGCCGGGGAAGGCGAAGGGGAAGCGGCACGAGGGGCAGAGGAACTGCAGCGGGGGGAGGCGCGCGTAGCTGCGATAGATAGGGAGGCAGGGGGAAGGGGTCGGGAGGGGGTGGATAAAAAAATGGGGGATAACAAGGGGAAAGGATGGCAAATTGTGGTTGAGCAAGCTAGGGAAACGTGACGGCAAGCGAGACAGAGAAGCGTATGACATAGACAGCTTGACTTGACAAGGCAATACAGGAAAGCAAAAGGGACAGCAGACAGACCCATCTCTCACCGTCCATTCTGATAAGGTCCATGTCGCACCGTCCTATCATCATCAGACCCCATCTCTCACCGTCCTATCATCATCAGACCCCATCTCTCAACGTCCTATCATCATCAGACCCCACCTCTCACCGTCCTATCATCATCAGACCCCATCTCTCACCGTTCATCATCATCCAGAATGGAGGAGGCTGCCAGCATGGCATCATCTCGCACCGTTGATGCCGTCGCATGCACATGCCGGTACTGCACACAATGCAGGACGCAGGGTGTTACAGTGGGGGAAAAGAGGGGGGGGGGGGGGGGGGGTGGGAGATGGGTGGAAAAGGTGTTGTGAGGCATCTTACAGCACTTCAGGTACTCCCTGTCCACGTCCCACTCGCTCTCTATCTCTCTGCCTCTCTGCCCTCTCTCAGTGTCCGTCTGTCTCTCTGCCTGCCTGTCCGTCCATACAATGCAAGGCACGTTGAAGGCCATTGAGGCCGTACCTTGGAGGAGTCGAGGCCAAGGCAGTCGGCCAGGCGAGCGGCATCGGTGCCTTCAATGGGAGCACAAAGCCGGGCCACCACGGGGTGCACCTGGTGTGCCAGGTAGTACTCCCTGTCCACGTCCCACTCGCTCTCTGCACTCCTCAACTCGTCCACATGCCGAGCTCTCTCCGCTATGCCACCCGCACCGCTGCTGCTGCGACCAGCAGGTGGTACTGCTGTGTCTGCTCCCTCACTTCCTGATTGCTGCAGGAGAATATTGGGGTGGAGGGAGCAGAGAGGAGTGACAGGGGGTGCAGAGAGGAGTGTTTAAGGGGTGCACCTGGTGTGACAGGTAATGTTCCCTGTCGTCCCACTTGATCTCTATGCTCCTCAGCACGTCCACACGCCAACATGAGGATATCTCACTCAACCCACTACCACCGCACTGAACCCACATCACCGGACGGCACCTACCCGTGGGACGACAATGACATAGGGAATGGCGTCTCCAGCATTGCACCCCTCTGTGCGCCCCTCCGCAGCGCCACCTGCACGTGCGGCTGCGAGCTGACATGACGTTACCCTACTCAACCCTCCACCACCGCACTGAACCTTATGCCAACCCACCCCACAGCACCTACCCGTGGCACGGCAATGACGTAGGGAATGGCGTCTCCCGCGTTGCACCCCTCGGTGCGCCCCTCCTTCTTCCTCCTCAGCGCCACCTGCACGTGCGGCTGCGAGTTGGCGTCGGGGTAGTCACCGGGCGGCTTGGTGAGCGTCTTGGTGATCACGAACGATGTCAGATCTACCTCCCCTGCTCGTAACCTGGCAGCCAACTGGTGTGAGGGGAAGAATGAGAAGGGGGGGAAGAGAAGGAGGGCGAAGAGGGACATGGGGGTAACTTAACTCAGTGGACAGCTTGTGAGTGGGTGGCAAACTAGAACTGCTCGTAACATGCTGCGCGGGTGAGTGAGTGAGTGAGCGAGCGTGGGCGTGAGTGCGTTAGTGAGGGAGCGCGAGCATGAGTGAGTGAGCGAGAGTGTGTGTGTGAATGTGTGACCCCAGTTTACACTCACGTTGCGCAGCTCATTGTGAATCAACTCCACCACCTCCTCCCGCGGCCTGCACTCACATCACACAACACAAGCAGGGAGAGGTGGGAATAAATGAGGGGATGGGGAGAGGTGGGAAGAAATGAGGGGATGGGGAGAGGGAGCCTCTTGTGAGGGGGCCATTTTGGTGCGCCAAGAGACGCCACACCAACATACACACACACACACACGCACGCAGATACCGGCTCTACCCACCTGCGAGACAGAATGTGCGTGGCGTGCACTATGGGGGCGTTCCCTCCCGGGCCACCTGAGAATGAACCACATGGTCGCACGCAGGGCTACCTGGTGCAGGCTGCACGTACCTGCCAGACAGAATCTCCTTCAAGCAAAACCCGCCGATCTCCTTAGACAGCACGCTCCAGTCCCTGCGAACGATGTCCAGCCCCTTGTGCTCCTGCCACCTCTCGCAACACCTTGGCTGCGTGGGTGTGAGATCCACTCGCACCTGAACCCACACCCTCGCCCTCTCTCACCTGCCGGACAGTATCTGCTTCAGACAAAATCCGCCAATCTCCTTAGACAGCACGCTCCAGTCGCGCCGAACAATGTCCAGCCCCTTGTGCTCCGAAACCTCTCGCAGCACTTTGGGGGGCTCGCTGGATCCCAGCACCAGCTTGACGGAGGCGTACTTCTTCTTGTTGAGCAGCAGCATGCTGCGGAACAGCCCGTCCATCTCGATTTCCAAGAGTTTATACCGCTTGTTCACCTGCCAGGGAGGGAGGCGAGGGAAGGGGAGATGGGAGAGAAGGCAGCGTCTCGCAGAGCACGTCGCCTCAACCGCAGGTTTGAAGTCCCTCGTCGACGGTGCTGACCCTGGGGCTCGCCGGGTCCCAGCCCAGGATCAGCAGCCTGACAGAGGCGTACTTCTTGATCAGCAGCCTGACAGAGGCGTACTTCTTGATCAGCAGCCTGACAGAGGCGTACTTCTTGATCAGCAGCCTGACAGAGGCGTACTTCTTGATCAGCAGCCTGACAGAGGCGTACTTCTTGATCAGCAGCCTGACAGAGGCGTACTTCTTGATCAGCAGCCTGACAGAGGCGTACTTCTTGATCAGCAGCCTGACAGAGGCGTACTTCTTGATCAGCAGCCTGACAGAGGCGTACTTCTTGATCAGCAGCCTGACAGAGGCGTACTTCTTGTTCAGCAGCCTGACAGAGGCGTACTTCTTGTTCAGCAGCCTGACAGAGGCGTACTTCTTGTTCAGCAGCCTGACAGAGGCGTACTTCTTGTTCAGCAGCCTGACAGAGGCGTACTTCTTGTTCAGCAGCCTGACAGAGGCGTACTTCTTGTTCAGCAGCCTGACAGAGGCGTACTTCTTGTTCAGCAGCCTGACAGAGGCGTACTTCTTGTTCAGCAGCCTGACAGAGGCGTACTTCTTGTTCAGCAGCCTGACAGAGGCGTACTTCTTGTTCAGCAGCCTAACAGAGGCGTACTTCTTGTTCAGCAGCCTGACAGAGGCGTACTTCTTGTTCAGCAGCAGCATGCTGCGGAATAGCCCGTCCATCTCAATCTCCTCCATCCTCACCTCTTTCTTCACGCGGTGGGCGATGGCAATGGCCTGGCTGGGGTTGTACAGTCCACTTCCGAAGCACCTCCCCACCCAACCCTCTTCCTCTCCTCCCTCCTCACCTCCTTCTTGACGCGGTGGGCGATGGCAATGGCTTGACTGGGGTCATCCAGCCCCGTGTTGATTATGATGGAGTCCGTGTCGCCGTATATCGCATCTCCTCCCTCCCCACCTCTCCCCTTCCCCACCTCTCATGCCCCCTCCCCATCTTTCCTGTCCCCTTCTCCTCACCTCCTTCTTGACGCGGTGGGCGATGGCAATGGCCTGACTGGGGTCGTCCAGCCCCGTGTTGATCATGATGGAGTCCGTGTCGCCGTATATCACCTCCAGGTTCAGGTTGTTCTGCACCAGATCCACCGTGCTCTGCAGGATATCCCGACCCTGCAGGAGCGGGTGTCAGCAACGATAAATAGGGCGGCAACACAGTTGAGTCGATCACGATGGAGTCGGTGTCTCCATAAACCACCTCCAGGTTCAGATTGTTCTGCACCTGATCCAAGTGCTCTGAAGGATGTCTCGACCCTGAGAGGGAGTGGTAAAGAAGGAAGGGGGAGAGACAAGCAGCAAGAGCAGGGGCAGGTGAGGTGGGTCAAGATGGAGTCAGAGTCGCCAAGAAACACCTTTAGATTCAAATTGCTCTGCTCTGAAGAATGTCGCGACCCTGGTGGTAGGTGGGAGGCCAGGGCAAAGATTTAGCAAGCGTGAGGAACGACATACCATCATGACACGTCTGGAAACTCAGCAGCACGTCACAACAACCCTGGCGCATTGCGAGAGTTGCACCACGCAACGCTTACAGAACAGAGAATAGCATGAGTTCGGAACGACCGGGATGGGATGGGGAGGTGTACCCTTGAGGTGATGAGTTCAGCGAGGGGCTTGGCGAAGAAGCGAGAGTTGGAGAATCCCAGGCAGCCATACATGCTGCACAGAGGGAGGGTAGGGGTTGTGGGGAAAAGGTGAGGGAAGGGGTGCAAAGGGGGTGTTGAGGAGAGCATGAGGACTTGAAGGGTATTGACCTTAAAAAAAAAATAGCAAAGGTGTGAAGGGTGAAAACGACAAGAGGGAGTGGCAAACATAAGCATGTTGCAAATGAAGCATTCCAGCACCAAGTGCTGTTTCAATCACCAATCATACCTGTTGGCAGTGAGCTTGAGCGCCTGCTGCCGGATGTCCAGCCTCTGCCGCTCATCCAGGTCGTCCTCCCTCTGGCTTAAGCCACTTCACCTGCCGCCGTAGCACCCTGCCACTGCCACTACCACCAGCACCTTACAAGCACCCTGCCACACCTGCAAGCACCAGTCACACCTGTTGGCAGTGAGCTTGAGCGCCTGTTGTCGGATCTCCAGGCGCTGCCTCTCATCCGGGTCGTTCTCCCTCTTGAGTAGATCCTTCACCTGCCGCCTCCTCTGCACCAACATGCCCAGCACCTTCCAGCACCACACACGACCATACATACCGAACGAAGAAAACATATAAAAAGTAATGAATCTCCTCATGCCGTGGCATGTCCCTAGCAAAGCTTTGATTCATTTCCATAGTATGGAGTGGTGTGGTGTAGCACCCCAGGAGGATCAGGATCAGGTAGCTGCGGCAGCGAGGAGGCATCCGGGCAGGCAACGGTGGTGAAGCAGATGTTGTAGTCGCGGATGATGGACGGATACACGCTCTTGCTCCAAGTCCGGCAGCACCCATCTGTGCCTGCCCCCCTCAAAAACCACCTGGAACAGCAGCACGTTGCGTACCTCTGACAGCGCAAGTGCGTACCTCTGACAGCGCAAGTGCGTACCTCTGGGAGCACCCCAGGGGGGTCGGGGTCGGGCAATTGCGGGAGAGACGCAGGGTCCTCCGGGCAAGCGACGGTGGTGAAGCAGATGTTGTATTCGCGGATGATGGACGGATACAGGCTATTGAAGTCCAGCAGCGCCACTATCTTGTCATACAGCCCCCTCTTCGGCTCCAGCACCAACCCCCCCGCGTACCCCGGACCCTTCTTCCCCTCACCCCCTCCTCCGCCTCCTCCTCCCTTCTTCCCCCTCGCTCCTCCTGCTCCTCCCTCGGCGCCCTCAAGAGTATTCTCATCATCCCCCTCTTCTTCCTCTCCCCCTTCCACCCCCCGGGTCACTGTAATATCCTCTCCTGCCCCTGCTGCCTTTTCTTGCTTCTCCCCTCCCGCTCCTTTGCGTTTCTTTTTCTTGCCCGAGGCTGTAGCAGCGGCCGATGAGATGGCAGCTTCTTTTTCTTTTGTGGTCAGCTTGTCGGGCAGCATGAATTTCCGGCGGTGGAATTCGTGCAGCAGGAGGTACTCGATTCGCTGGGCCCGGGATCCCTGAAAACGACGGGCAGCAGAAGAAAAAAACAATTACAATCACTATCACTATCAAGCTATCTAACAATGACAAGTTAATGAAGCGTCCTATAAGGAGCCGATGGGAAAAGGAACAACTTACTCCTATCCAGCACGAGAAGCCAGGCTTTTGAGTCGACTCAAAAGTCGCCAGGCTCCTCTGTTTCACCCCATTGAACAGCAAAGGTGTGCCCACCTGCAGTGTGCGGTTCCAAAGGTTGCCGCTGAGGTTGGTGAGCTGGCGGGAGAGTGGCAGCACGGAGAGTTGGAACATGAGCGTGAGGGCCAGCCATGCGTCTGTTTCCACCAGCCCCACCTGCAGGATGGAGGGGGGGGGTGTGGGGGGGAGGGAGGGAGAGGGGAGTGAGGGAGGGAGAGGAGAAAGAGGGAGAGCAAGAGCAGCAGTGGCAGCATAGAGAGTTAGAACACGAGGGTGAGGGCCAGCCATGCATCTCCGTCTCTACCAACTCACCAGCTTCATCAGGGATTCGCTGCTGCCATACATGCCCGGCACCTCAGCCGCAGCCACCTCTCTCCGCGTCTGCCCCAGCTGACTTGCCGCCAACGCTGACAGCGAGTGGCTCACTTCCTTCGGCAGTATCTCTCGAGACGAAACGCTCGTGTCGATCAGTAGCCGCCCGGCCACAGCTGACAGCAGGCCCGGCGCCGCCCCTCCGCCGCCCCAGTTGCTGCCAGGGCCGCCCCCTAGCTTGGGCATCTGGGTGCGCTTGAGCCGACCAATCGCCGACCAGTTGCCCACACGACAGGCCTGGAGCGAAGGGATGTAGCAGGATAGCAAACAGCATTACATGGTTACCAGGATACATACAACCCATTATGCATGGGGATGGAGTGAGCATGGGCTGGGCAAACTCAGAAATTCATCTACCAGGTTATTCTCACCTGGAAAATCACCTGAGCCCCACCTGAAAAAACACCTGAGAGCCCACCTGCATGCGCTGCAGCAGCACAGTGAGATCGAACGCTGCCAGTCCGTGTCCTATGATGACGTCAGCATCCAGCCTTCCCATTCGGGCCAGGAGATAGCTCAGCAGCTCCCTCTCGCTATAGTCACATGGTGGACACAATGAACAGAGGAAGTGGGGGGGTGGTGGATTACACACATGGAGAAGGCTGTGTGATAGCGGCAGCAAATATGAGCTGTATGCAAGTGTATGGGATGAACGCAGATTGGATCTGCCGCTGTTGACAACCACGATTATCTCACTCACTCTCATTCACGCTCACACCCACTCACCTGCCCTTCTTGCTCAGCACTGGCCCGTCCTGCCCCGCCCTCTGATTGGCTGCAGCGATGGCAGAATCGAATCCCACGGGGGACATCACCCCCTCCAGCCGCCTCAGCACTGAGAAGTGTCCAAGCGACGCCGCCCCACTCCACTCACTGCGCGCCATTGGTCGATCAATCTGATGAGGGAGGGCGGGCAGGGAGAAAGGAGAGTTATGGGGGTGGAGGAGAAAAGAAGTCAGGAGGTCAGACCACAGGTTCACAGAACAAACCACATGCCAAACTGCTCCCCATTACACTGCACCGCACTGTACAACACAGGACCGCTCTCACTTCTGGCTGACCTTGGCGTTCCAGCAGAATACCACAGATACAGCAGCCACCTCCTTCACATTCTTTCCACAGTTCACCACCGTCTTCACGTTCAGCGACGCCACCACCACCCTTACCAGTGCACTGTTTAGCACCACTTGGTACCGCACAGAACCACTCTCACTACCACTAACCTTGGCATTTTGGCAGAAGACCACGGAGACAGCAGCCACCTCGTTGACATTCTTGCCATCATAAATTGACCACCGTCTTCACGCTCAGTGACGCCACCACCAGTGTCCTTACCAGTGCACCACTTAGCACCGCACATCCCTACTTTACACCACTTGGCACTGCACACCACTCCCTTCACTGACCTTTGCATTGCGGCAGAACACCACGGAGACAGCAGCGACCTCATTGACGTTCTTCCCATGGTTGACCACCGTCTTCACGTTCAGCGACGCCACCACCAACCTTACCAGTGCACTGTTTAGCACCACTTAGCACCACTTGGTACCGCACAGAACCACTCTCACTACCACTAACCTTGGCATTTCGGCAGAAGACCACGGAGACAGCAGCAACCTCGTTGACGTTCTTCCCATGGTTCACCACCGTCTTCACGTTCAGTGACGCCACCACCAGGGGCGGAGGGTCGTTCTCTGCTGCTGCTGGCGCCACCAGCTTGGGCGATGCCACTGACACCTCCACCCTGCAGTGGCTCCTCTGGTGGGAGTCAGCGGAGGGATAAGTGTGGGAAGGGACGGGGGGTTGTAAGCGGGAGGAAGGAAAGAGGCCACCACCAGGGGCGTAGGGTCGCTCTCTGCTGCTGCTGGCGATACCAGCTTGGGAGATCCCACTGATACCTCCACCCTGCAGTGGCTCCTCTGGTGGGGATGAATGGGGGAGAAGTGTGGGGGGTGGGGTTGGGCTGTGGGCTCAGGGGAAGGGGATAAAAAGATGCCACCACTAGCGGCAGAGGGTCGCTGTCTGCTGCTGCTGGCGCCACCATCTTGGGAGATGCCACTGACACCTCCACCCTGCAGTGGCTCCTCTGGTGGGGATGAATGGCGGGGGAGGGGGGATATGTGGAGGAGTTACAGTCAGAAGGGTGAAGCGTCTGCTCTCTGCTGCTGCTGGAGCCACCAGCTTGGGTGATGCCACTGACACCTCCACCCTGCAGTGGCTCCTCTGGTGAAGGTAAGGCACTCCTTTTAACCGCTGTGTGGGAAACTCTTTTACAGAGGCAGGCAACGATAGGCTATTCCGATTTGACTTTTGAGTCGACTCAAAAGTCAACTCTTTTACAGAGGCAGGCAACGATGGGCTATTCCGATTTGACTTTTGGTCGACTCAGAAGTCAACTCTTTTACAGAGGCAGGCAACGATGGGCTATTCCGTTTTGAACGTACACGTGTATTGGGATGATTCACGGACCTGGGAGCCAGGGTGAATGCGGGTGGGGCGATCGATGGCCAACCAGCAGGGGCACTTGAGGCGCCGCTTCAGCAGCAGCAGCTCCAGCGCACTGCCAGGGTGGGGTGCGGTGGGGTGGAGTGGAGTGAGTTGGGGTGGAATGCGGTTGAGTATCTAGAGCACTGTGAGTGGTATTGGTGGGATGGGGCTGGGCTGGAGCTGAGAATCCATTGTTCTCCTCGCATTGTCTCTGATACAGCCTTCCTAGCAGTACATTTCGCCCCTGTCCATTTAACAGCACGTTTTGCTTTTTGAGTCGATTCAAGGGTCACCTCTGTCCAGTCCAGTGTGTACAAGCAACGCAGGAACAAGTTATGTCGCCTGATGATGCAACCAGTCAATACAGCCCTCTAGTCTCACCTGGTGTGTGCGCCTAGCAGAGCACTGAAGTGATAAGTCGATTTTTGAGTCGACTCAAAAATCGACTTATCACACATGATGCAACCCGTCAATACAGCCCTCTAGTCTCACCTGGTGTGGGTGCCCAGCAGAGCACTGAAGTGCGTGCCTGTGAGGTCGGAAGGCAGAGGGGCATCCTGCAGTTATCAACAGAGACGCAGTGAGGGATGGTATGAGAGGCGCAGTGAGAGGTGGTGAGAGGTGCAGTAAGGGGCGAGATGCAATGAGAGAAACAGCCAACAGCCACAGCTTTTGAGTCGACTCAAAAGCAGATGCAATGAGAGAAACAGCCAACAGCCACAGCATCCAGGTACTGTGTCATGGTAGAGAGAAAGGAAAACCGGAAGACAATCAATCAGTCGTCATGGCACTTGCAAGCTTACCGAGTAAGGGTATGTGATCTTGAGCACATACTGCTCGCCTCGTGGGATATCCTTCCTCTCAAACGCATATGAACGCTGCGTGCGACAAGGAGAGGCAATGACACAGCAGAGAGGCAAACAGGCAGGGGGAGGGCGCAGGAGCACAGGATGAGCACATGAGCACAGTACGAAGAGACTCTCACACGAATCCAAGCAAACATAATGAGCCGATTCAAGAGATTTTCACGTCCATGCAGTGAATTGCTGCTAGTGAGGACCCTGGGGCAGTCAGCAGGTGACCCACCTTGACAGGCATCATGCAGAAGGAGGACACGTGGCGCTCCATGAGTCGCTGGCGAATCTCCTCCTTAAGAGGCGTAGCTAGCTCCTGTGGTAACCAGGGGGTAGGGGGGGATGGGGAAGTGCGGAAGTGGGAAAGTGGGGTGGTGGGGGGGAAGGGGATGTGATGCGATGGGGGAGACGGGGAATTGGGGAGATGGGGGGTATGGGGAGGTGGGAAAGAGTGGGAAGACGAGCAATAAGGGCTAGCAAGGCATTCACTATCCCCATGTGAGTAAACATCGTATCCTCAAGCCTCGGACCCCCCAAAATTCCATTCCCTGAACCCCATCCCAAACCTTGTCCGTAAGCACCCTTCCCCAATCTCAATCCCACGCATCCCTCTCATGCAACTCACATGCAGCTTGCGCATCTTCTTGAGCCGCGCAGCCTTCACTCTCTCCGACTCCTCCTCGCCCTTCCCCCCACCACCACCCTTGACCCCACCGCCTTTGCCCTTCCCAACCCCCGCTTTCCCCGCGTCCTCCTCCCGGGCCTGCTGCTCTTCCGCCTCCAGCACGGCCAGCTGGGAGTCCTCAAACAGCCCCTCGCGAGGCACGGCGAACACGCACCGCTGCATGCCCTGCACGCCCACGCAGCAGCTCACGAACGACCCGCTGCTGCTGGGATTGCTGGTGCCGCTGGCATGCTTTACAGGGACCTGCTTGGGGGTGAGTTAGGAGGTGGGAGAGCAAAAGGTCATGAGATTCTGCCACTAGGAGGGCACGGCGAACACGCACCGCTGCACGCCCTGCACGCCACACAGCAGCTCACGTACGGCTCGCCTACCTCTTCCCAAGCATCCCCTTCCTACTCTCCCCCAGACCCCCTCTCACCTTGCCAAACAGGAACACCGTGCCCTGAAGCGCACCATAAGACTCCTCCACCGCGTCTAGGAAGAAGAACGGAAGCTTCCCATCCGCATCCAGCGGAAGCCCCTCCACGCTCACAGGCGCATCTGACCCTGCGACAGCCGCACTTCCTGCTACAGCCGTTTGCCCTGCTACTGCCGTCCAAGCCGCAGACGCGTTCTCCTCCTGAGCCAGCGCCCCGAGCCTAGCATGCAGCTTCGGCGCCTGGCCCGCCTCGGCGGAATCTGGTTTGGCCGACTGCCCTCCCTCTACCGCACCATTCCCAGCTGCAACCCCTTCGCCTGCCGCTGCTGCTGGTACTTTCTCCTCTCCAGACTCTGCTTTAACGCCTGTCTTCGTACCAGCTCCACCACCAGTTATCCGGGCGGTACTATTGGGTTCTGCGTTAGCACTAGGTGACTCGGAACCCGTTCCTGCCCCTCCACCAGCAGCACCGGCATTCAACCCTTGGTGCTCACGTGCCGCAGCGGCAGGGGTCATGTCGGGAAAGGGTGAATCGTCGGCAAACGGCGGCGCCTGCGGTGGCGGCTGTTGTCGGCCGGCAGAAACGACCGGCTCGTTTGACGGCGTGACGACAGGTGCGTCATGGAAATCGTCTGGGTAGACTGGTGGCTTCGCGTGCTGTGCGAGTGGCCGCCACGCGGAGGGCGTAACGGTCACCGCCACGCCGCCGCCTGACGAACGCGAATGGAAAGGCAAGTGAACCAGGGGGGTAAGGGGAAGGGACGGAAGGATGGCGGGATGAGTCGGAGGTGACAAGGAACGCGGAGTGATGGTGAAGGACAAGGAGCACGATTCATATGTTCGGGGAACTTACGTGCTATAAGCTTACTACGCTAATAACTTATCCACACTCAACCGCAATAAGCCATGCACTCGAGCAACACGAGCAGAGGAACCCACGGAGAAGCCACGCCCACGTCGAGCCGAACCAACAAGCTCAACCGGACCGTACCTCTCCGTCTTCTCTTGTCGGGCAAGCGCTCGTGCGCGTCAGCGCCGATGTCGTTAATCAGCTCCTCCAGCAGCGCCTCCGCCGCTTGCGCCTCGCCGGCCGGCAGTGCCGAAGCCTGCCGGCCGCCGGCGCGCGCGCCGGCAGCGGCAAACATGTTGGAGGCGCCACGGCGCTTCCCCATCATCGCGGCGGCGGCGGAAAGCGCCTTCCGCGCGGCGACGCCATCCCGGCGCGGCCTGGGCCCTAACGTGGGAAGCGGGAAAAAGGGGGCCAGGAAGGGAGAGATGAAGGGGGCAATAAGACGGACATCAAGGGAGAATATAAGGCAGACACTGAGGGAGACATGAAGTGAGACACAACGGGACGTTCTTTCACGAGCACGGGGGGGTAGAGCATACAATAGAGACAGCGGACAGTGACGTTCCGCATCCGAACGCACCTAGTCAGCAAAGCTGGCAACCAAGCACGGCCAGAAATAAAAAACTTTGGAGTCGGCTCACGAGTCACCAACGACCAAACACGGTGAGTTACAAAAGAACCGACCCCAAATAAATAGGACAACGAAGGTTCGACAAAATTACTAACCTGCAGGCTTCTTCTCTTTCTTCTTCCGTCTGCCGCCGTCCTCGTCCTCATCCCACGAGTCGTCGTCGTCGTCGCGTCGGTCCCACACGTCCTCCAGGCCCGTGTCCGCATACCCCAGCCCGTTGTCGTCCACCACGAAGTTCTCGCCCGCCGCGCGACGCTGTGCGACGATTTTCTGGTACTCCGACTCGTCGACGACGTCGTACAGGCGATCTTCCTCCTTCAGCTCGAACGTGTCGATCCGTCGCTTGCGTCGCACTGCCTGGTCCCCCTGATCGCCGGCATCGTCGCTGGCGACAGGAGGAGGAGCGAAATCGGACTGGCGGCTAGCGCGGTGCGCAGCGAGCTCCGCAAGCGCGCTCTTGCGGGAGGCGGAAGCGGACTCGACAGCTCTACGCGACCTGGTTGCCCTTTCCATGGCGACCAGCTAACAAAACTGGACTAAGACACTGAAATGGACGTTCCGCTTAGAGTTACACTATAATCGCGTGCAAACGCTTAGAGTTACACTATAATCGCGACGCGTTGCAACTCATGGAATGAAGTTCTAACTAGAATGACAACAAGTTTCATCTAGAATATTGCCTAACTGCAACGTTGACTCGTCTCCTCCAGCATCTTACACCAAGAAACTACAGGTTTCAGCACACGGCACTGGTATTGACGAACACTGGAATGGGCCACAGCGGAAGAATGAGGTTTCTCGTTGAAGATGAATTGAATGGGGGTGGAAAAAATCCACGTCACCGCGCCGCTGCCCCGGCCCGACCGCCAACCTTGGAAAACGCGGGAAGACAGACCCTGAACGGCCTGTTTGAACATTCAAATTTCTAAGTTGCAAACTTTCAACTTTTTTAAATAATATTAAATATATTGTGATACTTTTTCAATAAGAGCATTTGGCCGAGTGGTTAAGGCGTGTGCCTGCTAAGTACATGGGCTCTGCCCGCGAGAGTTCGAATCTCTCAGTGCTCGACAGTTTTAATTCTTTGCGTGGGTCCATTTTGCACTTTTCAAGCCAAAGCATACCATTGACGACTGTATAATATATTTCCAGTAGAAGTGTACACCAAGTTCCGACAAAGCAGCTCTTCTTTTTACATCCAACTCAAAACGTCTAAATCTCTGAAAACAGCAGTGGCATGCCATGTTTCGCTTGTGCTGTGAGAGCAGCAGTAGGCTGATGCTGATACGAAGGAGATATGCTCCATGAGGCGTTAAAGGAGCAAGTGGGATAGAATAATCTTAGCCTCAATAAGTCCGAACATGGCTCCAACACAATCCCGTGGACCACTGGAGAAAGGGATGAAGGCCTGCGGGTGTGAGCAGGCTGCTTGCTGTCCATCTGTGAGTTGGGTGCATGAAGAAAATGGGGGAGAACGCCATAAAAACAAATTTCTGAGTTCAACTGATGAAATGCGGGTGGAACAGTGCATGTGCAGAGAAGGAATGGAAGAATACTAGAAGCAGGCTCGGCCTCCAAGACAGCTAAGGGTCTCCACCTGCTCCTCCACACTAAGGCTTCCTGAGAAAGGAACGGATTGCTCTCTGTCTCACCTTGGAACCTCTCAGGCTTGAATTCGCGCGCGTCGGCCCCCCAGTAGCGCTCGTCAGCGTGCAAGCACCCGACAGGCAGAAACAGGTCGACGCCCTTGGGATTGACGTAGGGGCCAATGCGCACGTCCTGCTTGCTCGTGCGCGTGACGACGGGCACGGGCGGGAAGAGGCGAAGAGTTTCCAGCAGCACCATGTGCATGTCCTTCAGCTGCCCCGCCTGCTCCCATGTGACCTCCACTCTGTTTGCTTCCTTTGGTCGTGCCTCCGCTTCTCTTGTGCCTGCTACTCGTGCCTCCGCTGCTTGTGTGTGTGCTGCCGGACCTGCGTTGTCGTGAACAGAACCGTGTCTCGCTCTGGCTGTGCTGTCGCTGCTGCTGGCGTCACTCTCACTGTCACTGTCCGTGCCATCCCCACTGCTGCCGCCACCACTACTGCTGTCACCGCTGTCGCTGCTACTGCTGCTCTCTGCTCCATCATCCTGCACAGACTCGTCCTCCTTCTCAGTTTTCTCGTTCACCTTAACTGTGCCCGCCTCCCTCTCTTCCCTTCCTCCTCCGCCCCCCACCACGCGCACCACCTCAGATCGGAGCCGCTGCTGCCAGTGCGGGTGGCGGGCCAGCAGGTACATGCTCCACATCACCAGCACCGCCACTGACTGTCCTGGGGGATGGAGAGGGGGAGAGTAAGGTGCAATGCTGTGAGGTGCGATGAGGTGCCAACACTGCCACTGACTCGTGGCCTGGCCGGGGGTGGGGAAAGGGAAAGGGAAATACAGCAGCATTGGTTACTCATTCCGTGCATCGAGGACCCACCAGCCATGGTGAGTGTCGCACACTGGTTGACAACCCTGTTCACCAGCGCAGCCGACAGCACGCCACCACCAGCACCGGCAGTTGCACCAGCAGTGGCAACACCACCGCCAGCAGCAGCAGCAGCAGCAGCAGCAGCAGCAGCAGCGAGTGTCTCCTCCTCGCGCCTCATCTCCGCCGCCAGCAGCGCCGCCAGAACGTCCTTCCCCAGCCGCCCCTGCGCGCCCCCATGCGCCCTGCGAGCGATCAGCTCCCCAAACAGCTGGCGGAACCGCTGCTCCACCGCCCACAGCGTGCGGTTCTCAGGCGTGGGGAGGAGTCTGAATGGTTAGAGGGCGCGGAGAAGACGGGGGCGGGGGTTAGGAGAAAGGGTTTCGTCACTTTGTTCTTTAGAGGCGCCTCAAAAGGGTTCTCGAGCATAGGGAGCGGGGGGGGGGGGGGGCGGTCAAAGGGAAAGAATGCAGGCGGTGTGAGATGGAACGGGAAAGGGTGGTGGAAAGCGGTGAGCAAGACGTACGTGTAGAGAGGGATGAAGACCCGGCCGGAGAAGAACCGTGCAATGGCTTTAATCACCAGCGAGTGCAGCACCGTGTATATCCCCGCCACTCCCCGCTGCCCTTCCCCCTTTCCTCCTTCCACAATCGCCCCTCCCCCCACCTCCTCCTCCTCCCCCTCCCAGCCCTCCTCTTCCCCCTCCGCATCCGCATCCGCCGCCGCCTCTGCAGCCGCGTTCCCCGCGTCCAGGGTGCTCACGCCAGCGGTGGCGCGGCCGCGGCCGCCGCTGACGGCGGCGCCGAGCACGGCGAGCCCGATAACGTCCAGAGTCACCGCGAATAGCACCTCCTGAATTTCCACCTCGCGCCCCGCTTGCGCCTTGCGCGCCCCTTCCGCCGCGCGCCCTCCTTCTGCCGTGCGCTCTTCCGCCTTCTGCCCTTCTTGTGCGATTCGCTGCAGCAGGCGCGCGACCCCCTTGCGCGCCTGGCGGTTCATCACGGAGAGCGCGTGCTGCGGACGGGGCGGGGTTACGGGGAAAACGGGTTACGGGGAAAATGGGATACGGGAAAAATGGATTACGGGGAAATGGGATACGGGAAAATGGGATTTGGGAAAATGGAGGCGTAGAACATGGAGAGCTCGAAGTGCGAGATGAGTCGACTCGAAAGTTCGCGGGAGAGAAAACGGGAGTCACGGAACAGGGGGAGTGGGAACAGCGAGCGCGATGGCGAGCGGCGAACGGTGAGGGGGGAGCGGGGAGCGGAGAGCGGGGAGCGGAGACCGATTAGAGGCGCGTGCATTCTCCGAAAATGACGGCTGTATCGCTGTACCTTGACGGCGCCATGGCTGAAAGATGGATTTACGGCCTTGCGCTGCCGCAGCCACTCTTCGCCGTCAACAAACGGCAAACCGTCTCCCACGAAGCTCAGCGCGAGTTGCACGGCCGGCATCTTCTGGAAGCATCCCGACCGTCCGATGAGCACCTGCTGCACCAAATCCGGATCCGCAAGCACCAGCGCGGGTTGCGGGCCGGCAGCGAATCCGAACACCTTCCCGAATCGCGCAATCCAGTCGCACAGCAGCGGAGTGACCGTTTCGGGCCCGAGCGGTGCTGACGTGGCAGGCGAAATGGGCTCCATGACTTGCCACTGCGACTGTAGTTCAGGGATCTGGCCAATGAGAGGCCGGAACGGCAGGAACGGAATGTTTTGTCGTTTGCATGCGACGACGAGCCGATAGGGAAGCCATACGACGCGATATAGGAGTAGTGCGAGTGATGATGCGACGATAACTGCGAGCGAACCCCATAAATGACGCGAGTCGGCGAATTCCATTATGGTATCCATAGGTCAGACTCCGAGCTTCCTCGGATGAATGTACGATGCTATTAATCTACTAACAGGAAACTCGCAATATGACGTTCAAGACGCCGGCCAAAAACTCTTGCAACAGGCCTGATAACTACAGGTCGTGACGTCCGAGTGAAAGAAAACGTAAGTTTAGGAGAGGGGTTGTTAGTTCAACCCATATAAAAGAGAGGCGACCTTTCTACTCTTCGGTCGTCGCTACTGGTCGCGTCGAAATGAAGAGGCCCTACGTGGTTGCAAGAGAGCGAAGCAGCACCGCTGCAGCACTGCCTATCACACGACAAATCAGAGAACGAGAATGGCGGATAACGAGAATGGCGGAGACTGAAAGAAAGAGCAAGGATGAATCTTGGGAGGAGGAGAGGAACACCGAAAGGTCGAAGGTCGAAAAACTCGAAAGGCTATTGGAGCGCCGACCGAACCGCCGCTATCGATGAGCAGCGGGCGAGGTGACCAATCAGAGATTTTGTCGAGGCTAGGCTGGTACAGATTGTTTTTTTTTTTTTTTTTTTTTTTTTTTTTTAATGTTATTACACTATAAAAGCGCATACATCCTCAGTCGTAACTGATTTTCTGGAGAGGACCTACCCTGGTACCAACATGTTAGTGCCACTACCGGGGTCACCCCTCCATGAGGCTTCTACGGGGGCTGCCTGATCGTTCTGGGATTGCGCCAGATGGTGAGAAACCCATCGCTCCACGTGGCCTTTTCACCTGGCTCACTGAGTAGAGCCACCGCCGCTCTCTCGTCACCCTTCAGATCTCGCCACGGGTCCTTCCCCTGCTTCGCTGTACCTGACCTGCGTGCTCTCCGAGTCAGCTCCGTGCGATACACCTGAGCATGCAGCGCGAAATCTCTGATTGCCCCTCTTGCCACCTTCTTCCGCTGAAAAACTTCCCCCCTCCAGACCATGCCACATCTCGCCAGCCAGATGTGGCGGAATGTTGTGGCCACTAAGGTTGACGCAGGAAACCCTGACTTCGTGCCCCCCTCATAAAAAAGCAGCGCACCGAGCGAGTTCGGGTTGCCCGCTTGGCCCAACAACTGCAAAGATCTCTGCAGCGCGCCGACCACCGGTTGGACCAGCGGGCAACTGAACATGCAATGTTCTAGGGTTTCAGGCTCCCCGCAATGTGAACAGCGCGCCCTTTCCCCCAGGAATTTCAGCCTGCCGCCCACCTGTAGGTTC